GTCCCTGGAAAGCCATTATTAGGTGGTGGTTTCAGAGGCACGGGGAGGTGAGTTAATGATGTAACACCTGGGCTGACAACACTGGAATTGCTGGAATTCCAACCTGTGCCCCATGCCCACCTTGTCCCCGGCCTGGAGCTCCCAGAGGTTGGAGCCCATGGAATCACTGCCCTTTTCCCAGGATCCAGCTGCAGCCCCCACACAACCCCCTGGATGTGTGACAAGGGAGTGTAGGTGGGATCAGAGCATCAACGTACATGGAGAAATCTAAAAGGGCATGGACATAAAACAATAATTGGTGCTGGAGTTGGAATTCCTCTTTGCCCAGCTGGAGAAAATGCTGCAGGTAAAAATTTCCAGTGCAGCTGATTTCCCCAAATTACAAATCAAAGAGCGAATCAGGTACTGAGATTATGACATTTTCTAAATGCCTGGGTCTTATGATTCCTAAAATCGATTAGTGGAGTTCAGATGTTCATGCCCCCCTTGGCATGTTAATGCACATTTTCCCATCCTGATGCACAGCATTTTACTTTTTATCAGATTAACTTTTCTCTGCGCTGTCTGTCAATTTTTGGAATGAGTAAACACGGGGAAATGCAAATAGTTGTGTTGCATTTCATCTCAGATTAATCAATTTAAAAACAATATAGATTTTTAACCCATCAGAGATGATGGCTTATGACAGCTCCAGTGGTGACTTCACTTTAAGGCAAGTGGGTTGGAATTGCTTAAAGAAACACCCTGGACTTTTTGAAGGCTGGGTTTTTTCCCTGTCTCTGAAGAGGCTGAAGTTTATCTTTTGAAATAAAAGGGTTTATATAAATTTTTTTTGGTTCACATGGAAATAAAATAACACAAAACTTGAGAGCAACACTCATTTCTAGCTACTAAAATGCAGAGTAAGGCAAAATCTAAATGAGGGTAAGAAGGTGTGTGCAAGATGACAATGTGGATCAGGAGCAAAGTGGGATATTGTGGTGGAGGATGTCCCTCAGTCCCTCCAGTGTATCCCGTGTTTAGGAAGGATTTCTGAGGCAGAGATGGAGAAATGGTTGCACAGAACTAATCCTGGTGGTTGTTTTTGTTGTTGGCCTGGCAGAGCATGTCCTTTTAAGGGGGAGGGAAGGGGGACTGTGTTGTTTAAGATCCGAAGCTCCTCACTCACATCCAGCTCCCTGGTTTGCTCAGGGAGAGCCCCGTGGGATGGCAGAGGGATGGCAGAGGCAGCTGTGCACTGCCAGGAACCTGAGGGCAAATGAAGAACAGGCTGAATTTCAGCTGTTTCTGCATATTCAGGATGTCCTGTGCAATCCAACCCTCCTCCTCCACCCCTGCAGGGTGAGAATGGCTCTGCTGGGGGGCTCTTGATGGCTGGTCTGGGTCAGGAACAGAGCCCATCCCCAGGATTTCAGTGCTGTTTGCTGTTGCAGTGGATGTTCTGCTCCCTCCTCACTGGTTTACCTGTTGTCCAGGTGTGAATATTTGCACCAGAGCCAGTTGGTGCCTGCACCTGCCTGTGCCAACACCAGGGCTTTATGTGCATTTATGGTCCTGTTACTGTCGGGTTTGCTCTGTGCCCCAGTGGCTCAGGTTCCAGGGCCAGCTCAGGTGTGGGTTTATTTGCAAGAGCTGGAAAATGAAGCAGCTCCTGAGAGTGTGTCAGCAGTGACACCCCCCCCCCAGCCTCTCCTCTGGCACCCAAGTGATGTGAATCCTGATTTACTGCGAGGCACAGGGGGGTTACCCCAAGGTCATCCATCAAAGAACGACCCCGGTGTAATCACCTGCCTGCAGAGTTTTATGTTGCACTCCAGGAGAGATGGAGGCTGAGAGCACCTTTGCAGACTCAGCTGGAACGTTCTGCTGAGCTTCCAGGATGCAGGAGGTGATTTACTTTTTATTTCCCCCCCTTCCAGCCTGTAGCTCTGTGGGTTATTGAGAGTTATCGGGGCGTTGGCATGTTCTGGCTGGAAAGGTTTCCTTTGCAGCTGCAGAGTGCTGGGTGTCACTCAGATAATGGGGCTGAAGGCACAGAAATCTCTCTGGCAACCGGCTCAGGGGCTCAGGATGGAGCCTGAGATGGGGGAAAAAGGGGCTCAGAAGGACCTGTGGAGGGAGGTGGTGGCAGAGCCGAGCCCTGGAGGGGAGATTTGGGGCTCCAGGTTCTCTCTGCCCCTCCCAGAGGTGTTTCCTCACTCCTGTGTGTGGTTGCTGTGTCAAGGTGTTCAAGGAGGTCGCTTTGCTTTGGCCTTTCTCCTTTTCCAGTCCTGTTTAGGGGGGGGGGTTGATGCAGCTGCATCGAACTCCAGGCTTGGAGCTTCTAGGAAATGAAGAATGCCAGATGTGGAGTGTGGACTGAGCCTCCATTCACAGAAACACAGCAGTGCCTTGAGCTGCCATGGCACTTCCAGAGCTTTATTTCTGTATTTATCAGTGTTTGAAGAACCTGTAACTTCATCTTCAGCTGCGTTTCACCACCTCAGGAGCTGCTGGCATTGCCTCACCCTGAGTTTTGGGGTTTTTTTGTGCAATATTCTGCTCATTTTTATTTCCAAGTGCGCTGATTGAAGTTACAGCTGCTGCCCTTATTTCTACTTTTGCTCTCTCCTTCCCCATCAGAGCCGTGTTACAAACTGGGAACTTGGTATTTTTATCCAAAGCACCAAACAGGGACTCGGTGGCGTAGGCAAAAAATCCGTAATTAGTGGGGCTTGAAGCAGAAGTGGCTGTTTGTGTCCCAGGAAACGGGGCTGTGCTGCTGACGTGGGCAGGCCCTGGAGGGAGGGGGCAGGATGCTCTGACATGGTAAAACTTCCCTGCTCAGCTTCCCAGTTCTGGTCCTCTATGGGGTTTTTTTGTTGGTTTGTTTTTTGTTGGTTTGTTTGGTTTTTTTGGTGGTTTTTTTTTTGTTTGTTTGGTTGGTTTTGGTGGTTTTGTTTTTTTTTTCTGTTTGTTTTTTTTTGGTTGGTTGGTTGGTTTGGGTTTGGTTTTTTTATTATTATTATTTTTTTATTATTTTTATTTTCCTTGGAAGCATTGGACAGGGAGAACGACCTAAAAAGCTGCTGAAGAAAATATATTTTTTCCCGTGTTTTCTCCCTGCCTTTTCAGCCCTGCTCCTCGTCAGGAGCTGAAGGCTGGCAAACACCAAACACACACGATGGCAAGGGAATAAGGATCTTCTGATGTGATGCGCTCAGATATTGATTTTTTTTTTCCCTCTCTTAAAATCCTGTTTACAAATTCCTTTTGCTTTAATTATTTGTTTCCTCCTGAAGACAGTACAAGCAGGAGGACCAACTGACAAGCTTTGTTCTTAAGTAGATGTAACTAATCCTCCTGCATCTTTCCAGCCTTTATCAGTCAGGCATTTCAAAAGGTTTTGTCTGTAGTAACCGAGTCCCCTCGAACCTGAGATGTGCCCACACTCCCGAGCTGGTGGGGCTGGGAGAGAGGGAACTTAGTGCAGCTGCTCAAGTGTGAAGTGTGGATGGGAATAATCCCCGAGCTCTGGCTCTTCTGGTCTGGGCACCTGCTGAAAATGGAGTTTATTTCCAATAGAGGGGGAAATGGAGGATAACTCCAGTGTTTCACTGGTGCAATCTGTGGTACCTTGGCCAGGAATTGCACCATGTTCCACTCCCACAGCCCCATTCCTCTCACAGGCACCACAGCTCAAGCACGTTTGTCCTCACCTTGGATTGCAGGAAGAACCTCAGGGTGAGACCCTTCCTCAGCATCAGGTCTTATTTTGTACCTTTTCCTGCTCCATTCCTGGTGGTTCTGTGTCCCCCTGGAAGCTCAGGCACACCAGGTGTCACTGGGGCTTTTCCCCTTTCCTCTCCCCCTCTGCCCACTGATCCCTGTGGCAAAGAAAACCCCACCAATTCCCAAAATCTCCTGCATTGGCTGGATATAAGGACAGAATCTGGAAGAACTAATGTTCTTCAGGCCCAAAAATTCCTCCTTTAGTCACTCACCTTTGCACCTTTGCTTTCCAACCTCTTATTGATCAAATCTATTCAGGGCAGAACAGCAGCTGGGCACTTGAGCAGAGATGTTTTTTGAGAGATTTTTTTTTGGCTTCATACTTTTGCTTGGCCATGTGTCCTGATCAGGTATATAATAGAAATATTTATATGCAATTAGCTGGGGGAAGGGAGAGTGAAACAGTGACACTCCTGGCAAGAAACAGAATTTTTGATCACAGCCCGATGCAATATTAATAATAACAACCCAGAACGGGGGTGCTCTGGGGGGTTGGGGGGTTCTTCCCCATACTCTTGTTCACAGTTTTTAAGGGTTTGTGACCAAATGTGTGGATTTAACAGGGTAAGAGAGGGTGGAATGACCTGGGGAGGCTGGAGGAGCACAGGGAGGGCAGGTGGGAGGTTGTGGCCCCCACAGAGACATTTGGGGGGGATCAGAGGGTTTTACTGGGGGATCACTGGGAATGGGGGGGAAGAGTTTGGGCTCATTCCAGTGGCTGTCCCAGGGTGGGTTCTGCACCCATGGGGAGGTCAGTGCAGGAGGATTTTTGGGGGGTCTCAGTGTAGGGGGGGGTCAGTGCAGGGTGGGCTCGGGGATCTCAGGGTTCTCAGTGCAGAGGATGCTCAGGGGGCTCAGTGCAGGGGGTCTCAGGGTTCTCAGTGCAGGGGATGGTCAGGGGGGTCAGTGCAGGGTGGGCTCGGGGATCTCAGGGTTCTCAGTGAAGGGTGGGCTCGGGGGTCTCAGGGTTCTCAGTGCAGGGGATGCTCGGGGGTCTCAGGGTTCTCGGTGCAGGGGGGTTCAGGGGTCTCAGGGCTCTAAGTACAGGGGGGGCTCCAGCCCCTCCGGTGGGTTTTTGATGTCGCCCCTGTGCGACCCCCCGGCTCACCTGTTGGTGGTGGGGGGGTCTCTCCCCACCTGTGCGCGCGCCGCCGGCAGGACCCGCCCCGCGCGCCCCCTAATTGGCTGCGGGGGGAGGGGCGGCTCATTAGTGATGCGGGAACGCGCCGCGGGCCCGGAGTCGGCGGCGGCCGGAGCGGGGAGAGGAGCGCGCGGACCCGCAGCATCCTCTGGACCCGCAGCATCCTCTGGACCCGCAGCATCCCCGCACCCGAGCGGCCACAAAGGGCGGGACAGAGGAGGGTGGAGGAGGGGGAAAACCCACCGCCCCACCGCAGCCGCGGCGAATTCTCGGAGATCTTGAGCCCGACCCTCGGCGGATCCGCATCCCGGCTCCCTCCATCCCCCGGCGCTGCGGGCACAGCATGGGCGGAGGAGCCCCGCGCCTGGACCCGCGGCTGCTGCTGCTGCTGCTGGGGCTCTGCGGCTGGAGCACCGCGCTGCGAGGTGAGCGGGGGGCTCCTCGTCCCCTCCCCGAGGCACCGGCAAGTTTGGGGCGGGGGGTGCCACCGGTTGCTCCGGTGCGGGGGGAGCGGGGCAGGACCGCGGCTCCGGGATGGGGGGACGTCGGGGACCCCTCCGAGAGCATCACCCGCATCCCCTCCGAGAGCATCACCCGCATCCCCTCCGAGAGCA